CAGGCAGAGGACCCGAACTCGAGGTAGATTCGACGGAATAAGTGGGTTCCATTATTGACGCTTAACGTTAGCTGGAACTCGTTCATTCTGCAGACGACGTGGTGGGATACGAATGGAATACGAATGGAATACGACTTCAGCTGCAATCTGCAAGTTCAGATCAATGCGGGCGGAGCGGCATCCGGAGGTCAGCCGGCCGATCGAACGGTCGCGTGCCAGAGCTTGGGCAGCCATCATCTGAGATGTTTGACTCTCTGTGTCGAGACAGCATGACCATTCAAGAGTCAAGACAACATCGTCTCCGTGCTGATAAGGAGCATTTCAAGATGATGAGAGGACCTTGGACATCTCGACATGAACTTGAGAGAATGTCGACGTGTGCTTGTCTCCACAGCCATCTATCTCTATCTCACGAAGTCGACGGGATGCAGTGTCGCGGTCGTTGACCATCACGTTGTGCCTTCTTTGTCGTTCACTGATGCTCGACATCATATGTTGCCTTTTTCAAGAAGCTCTTGACCTTATATACCTCCTTGATCGCTTCACAAGATCAAACCGGGCTTCGACCTTGAATATTCAGCGCCAGGCGGACGGACTATCTAAATCCCCCGGTTCGGGCCCCTGCCGCGGAATAGCGCCGGCAAACCCCGACTCTCCAAAACACTTTGCCGGGACCACTGTCAATGCTGAAAGCTTTCCCCGCGACTTTCCGGCCTGCAAGGGTCAGCTTCAACCCCAGTGCCGAGCTGCCATTCCGAGGCGGAGAACGACCCAGCACAGCGTCCAGCGATGCCGGTATATCTGGGGTCGGATATCATGCCGCTGATATTTATAAGATCTGACTAGGCCCCACGCTGAATTGAATTGTCTCATTTGTTTTCTGTTCGACTGCTTCTTGCTTCTTGGACCGTGTCCCCCATTCCTTGTAAATATACCCAACGGCCAAGACCGTGACATTTGGTAACTACAAGTGCCGTCTGAAGCCGAGTCCCTCCTTATTTACGTCTCTCCCTGACCACCACGCCCTTCTCTGAACTCTTCTCTCGCTATACCTTCAAGATGCCGTCAAGAGCGTTGTGCATGAGGACCCTAAGGGCCTACTCCAAGTATGGCTCAAACGTAAGCCCCCAATGGCCTCAAACCCCAAGCCAACCTGGCAAGCTAACAGCGTCCAGCACGCCGCCCTCTTCGCCCGCTGCTTCTCAGCCACCTCCCGCCGCGCCGAGATCAACAAAGTCTACCCCTCCGCCGCCAAGGCCCTCGAGGACATGAAGCCCAACACCACCCTCCTCTGCGGCGGCTTCGGCCTCTGCGGCGTGCCAGACACCCTGATCGACGAGGTCATGAAGAAGCCCGAAATCACCGGCCTGACCGCCGTCTCCAACAACGCCGGCACCGACGACTCCGGGCTCGGCCAGCTCCTCAAGACCAAGCAGATCAGCAAGATGATCGCCTCCTACATCGGCGAGAACAAGACCTTCGAGAAGATGTACCTCACCGGCCAGGTCGAGCTGGAGCTCACGCCCCAGGGCACGCTCGCCGAGCGGTGCGCGGCGGGAGGCAAGGGGATCCCGGCCTTCTACACGCCCGCCGCGTTCGGCACCGTGGTGCAGACCGGCGAGCTGCCGCTGCGCAACAACGCCGACGGCAGCCCGGCGCAGTTCTCGTACCCCAAGGACGTCAAGGTGTTCAACGGCAAGAGCTACCTCCTCGAGCACAGCATAGCGGGCGACTACGCCTTTGTCAAGGCGTGGAAGGCGGATAAGCTGGGCAACTGCCAGTTCCGCCTGGCGGCCAACAACTTCAACGGCGCCATGGGGCGGAACGCCAAGATGACCATCGTCGAGGCGGAGCACATCGTCGAGCCCGGCGAGATCGCGCCTGAAGCGGTGCACTTGCCCGGCATCTATGTCAAGAGGGTGATTCAGAGCACCACCGAGAAGAAGATTGAGAAGTACACCTGGGCTAAGGAGTCGGGCGAGGACGACAAGAAGGCCGCGCTGGGCACCGGTGACACGGCTGCCAAGCGGGAGAGGATTGTCCGTCGGGCTGCCAAGGAGTTCAAGAATGGCATGTATGCCAACCTCGGCATTGGCATGCCCATGCTGGCCCCCGGCTTTGTGGGTGAGGACGTGGAGGTGCAGCTCCAGTCCGAGAACGGCATCCTGGGACTCGGTCCGTATCCCAGGAAGGGAGACGAGGATGCGGATCTGATCAACGCGGGCAAGGAGACCGTCACGCTGAAGCCCGGCGCGGCGGTGTTTGGCAGCGAGGAGAGCTTTGGCATGATCCGGAGCGGGAGGATCAACCTCACCATCCTGGGTGCTATGCAGGTCAGTGCCAACGGTGATCTTGCCAACTGGATGCTGCCCGGCAAGGTGAAGGGTTTCGGCGGCGCGATGGACCTCGTGAGCAACCCGGCCATGACCAAGGTTGTGGTTACGATGGAGCACACGGATAAGAAGGGCAACGCCAAGATTGTGAAGCAGTGCGCTTTCCCGCTGACGGGCAAGGCGTGTGTGTCGAGGATTATTACTGAATTGGTAAGTTTTTCTGAGTGTGTCTGTTTGTTTGAGAATGACTGCTGACAGAGGACAGGGTGTCTTTGATGTCGACTTTGCGAACGGATTGACGCTGATTGAGATTGCGGACGGCGTCACGGTGGACGAGATCAAGAGCAAGACCGAGGCTCCGTTTACTGTTGCCGAGGACTTGAAGCCAATGCTGTGAGGTGTTGGGGAGCGTAGGAGGGTTGTGCTTGCAAAGACGGTTTATGCATCGGCAAGCGTGCGCTGCGATGTGCGATGTGAGGCGTCTGTCTAGATGATGTATATACTCCAGTTTGATATGGGCTTTTAAAATATGGCCTGTCGGAAGGCCTTAGATATTTGCATTGTATGCTAAGGCACTTTCCGTCATGTGTGGAGTGAATTGATCTACCGCCCTGTGAACGTTTGCAAAAGTCTACCAGGCGGCTAGTCCTGCATCAAAATAAGGAAACGACGTCAATTCCGTACTGGCTTGAAGTCTGCGTCAACCCAATTATTGAGAGACAACGCAACCTCCAGTATTCTGGGCCCCCTCCAATTCTCTGCTCTCTTTTTTTTGCTTTACATCTGTTCAAAGCAGCATCCACAACACCAAATCACGCTTAGTTGTGATAAAAAAAGCACAACGGCCAGTACATTGGGCAGATGCGATGGCTCCGGCTCGTCAGCTGTGGCGACGAAAACGCAAGATCCGATCTCTGGTAGCGCTATGCATCGAGACTCTGGCCAAAAATATCGAGGAAGCGTCGGTTGAAGCCCTTGAGCATTTGCCTGTCGCGATTCTTTGGCGAGTATACAGATACTATGTCGCTGAGTGGTCAGTTTAGTCCCATCTCCGACTTGTGCCTCGAACAACAGTTCTAACGGGGAGTCCAGCACCGCGACCATTGGCGGTTGGCGCCTGTTCTCGCCAATACTTCTTAGGGAGCTCTCGCGAGTTCCGCTTATGCTCTACTGGTTTCGTTGGGAGAAAGAACACCCGGATCAGCAAGATCTGCCGCGGTACATCCAGCTCAGCACTTCGTCACGCGTTGACTTCATCACCCACCTCACCATCCACAGGGTATGGATGTTCCGCGCTTCGGACTTGATGGCTCTGGCAGAAATGCCTAATTTGGGCATCCTAGAGCTCTCAGACTTGTTCGGAGGCCAACAGGAAGAACGAGACTTTATAACACCAGACATAGTCGACTCGTTGCTTAGCGATCGACTTGTGCGGGGCTGGAGCGAGAAGGACAATCCCTTTCCCAACCTGCGCATCCTGATGATGACTTCTATCCACTCGTCCGTCACCCTTCTAGCATTGCAATACGCCTCACGCTTCCCTTCGTTGGTGTACTGCGTTCTCAAATCGATATCACTCTCGCAGAGCAAACATGGAATCAGGCAGCGAGCCGCTGATCTTGGTTGGCGGTTGGAGAAGACTCTTCAACCTTGGAGAGGGAGGGATCCGGAGATTGTACCTGCCGAGACCATCAGATGGCGGCTGGAGTCCTTTGATAGACATGTACATGACGGGGTCTTTATATCACGCTGCCAGCCAGCAGATTCCGAGGCACACATGCCAAATGAAGCGCCTCTCGAGACCCTCGCAGAAGACAAAGGTGTTGTTGATCAGTCGCTGCAAATCTCCAGGGCCAAGGGTTTACATGATTCCTGGCCATGGGTCGTGTGGAACCTATACGGTACACTTGGGGAGCAGATTGGCAATGCGGATGTTATCGAACAAGGCGTCGACTTACCACATCGAGCGACACACATAGCTCCCAGGATGGGGTGCGAGAGGTCTCCCAAGAGAATTTCCATCAACGAAGAACAGGACCCCTGTGATCTTCATGAACTCCTCCCGCCGAAACAGATGTTGAGCGTCGTGTTAGGCTGGTATGGGGACTACTATCCCGATGTTGAGGACCGCAGGTATCGCCCAGGAGACTGCTTTGGTTTTTGCCCCAGCCATGAGGTCCCGCCCGGCGAAGCTCCCGTGAAGCTGAAGTCATATACCTTCGTTCGGGATTACAACTTGAACATGTCAACATCGACAAAAAGTGGAGGCGTCAATACCGCTAATACGACAGTTTCTGCTGAAACCGGGTCTAGCCAGGAGGCTGGCTTGTCAAGTACGTCAACAAAGAGGACAGAGGCTGGCGGCGCTGCCACTTTCAGGCCGCGTAAACGACGGAATCTGAACGACCTTTTCAGCTATGGTGCGGAAAGCAAAGAGGATGGTACCCTCTAGGACAGATGGGCATCGTGCCAACGATGGAAGCAAGACGCAGCTTGTGCCGACCATGAATCGACTTCAAGAACAGCGCAATGTGTGCGATGGACATTGGAAATTGGCTTTGTGGGCAGGAGAGAGGGAAGAGGTTGAAGGCAAGGGAACTGACTATTGTGTGGGACTTTCCGAGACCTACATGAGTGCACTTACCACGAGTCAGGCCATCAGCATCCGGCGGTGTGGCGCAATGGTAGCGTGTGGTCCTCCTATTCGCAAGAACAGCGAGTTCCAGACTGAGGTTGCAGGTTCGAGTCCTGCCATCGTCGACGATAACTTTTGCCGCATGGCACGAGAGTTGCTGTCGTGGCAGTTCGTTTTTTTGCGCGTCCTCGTCATCAGGTGCAAAATCAGATAACTGGGACTAAGGACATAACTTTTGGACTTTGAGAGGAACTAGCTGGTAGAACCGAAGGTAGATACCCGGAAATAGTTCACAAGAGTCCCTTTTCCACGATGATGAGATACAATACGTCGTGCATGGCCGTCGCATTGGATGCATTACCAAGGAATGCCCACGCAGCTTTACGCTGCCAGTCGTGACAGTAGGCTTTGCAGCAGGGACATATGCGATACATCCAGAGACAGCTTGTTACGAGAGCCATTTTTCAGCTGTGCTTCATGTTGAGTTGGTAAATGACGGCTTCATCACGATGGCAAGTGCTTCAGGCGAGGGGACGAGCCTTGCGATTTCGAAAGTGCACCATCCAGGAATACCATCCATCAGCCTTGGTCTACCCCAAGACACGCCGCCAAAGAGCCTGCCTTACCAGAAACACAGCCTAGGTATTTAGAAATAATGTTTCGACGTAGCACGAGGCCTTCGTCCCCAATCCACGACAGAGCTGCCATTCAGTGAGGAGGGTAAGAGCGCCGACAAAACGCAATATGATAGTTGATCTGTCCTTCGCTTTCCCCTCCAGAATGTCATTGTAGGACGGAAGCCGGAGTGAATACGAAGGAGTGTTTATGTGTTGTTTTATGATGAGGAGAGGAAAAGAGAAAAGAGAAGTCCAAAATTTCGAATGCTCGAAATTCTGATATGGCCGGCACTTGGAGCTAGACTCAATCAGGATGAACCCTTTTCAAGATTGTCCAATCATGCGAGTCACGTTAGTGAGTCAAGTCTCGAACCCCACCAAAGGCGGGGCAGGGACTGTCTGCAACCCAAAGTAAAGTTGGCGCCAACACAGATCTGCCGCCCCTCGTCCTATCGTCATTTTGGTAGGTATATATCTGCAACTTTGCTTTCACCTTCTCCTTGGAGAATCAGCATCTTGCGGTGTGATTCACTTTAGATCTAGGAGCTTTTTGAGATACCACTTGGGACTTTGCGTTCTTCTCTCTCTATAGACCTTCCACCCTGATCAGTCGAGTCTGACCTGGATCGACCAGCAACACACCACCCTTAACCTTCGACAACCACTCTCTACACACAGACAAGATGGCAGGCGGCGGTGCACCAGGCGGTAACTCGCGCGGACGCGGCGGCAAGTTCAAGAAGTACACTCGTGGAGGTATGTCACTGTTCCCCATCCACCATTGTTTCGACATGATCTAACAAATTGCCCACACAGGCGGCAAGCACTTCTCCCGCGACCTCCGACCCCTCGACGCCGACGGCAACGAGATCAGCATGTGGGCCAGCGGCCAAAAGAAGAAGGACGAGTCCTCGGAAGAAGAGTCCTCTGAGGAAGAATCCTCCGAGGAGGAGTCGGACGACGCCGGCCCCGGCGCCTCGGCCGCCGCGCTGTCCCGCGAGGAGCGCAAGAAGGAAAAGGCCGCCAAGAAGGCAGCTGCCGTCGCGCGCGCCAAGGCTGCCTCCGTGCAAGTCGGCGACCTGCCGCCCTCGGGCTCCGAGGAGGAGTCCAGCGACGACGAGGCCGACATGCCCGCCAACCCGAACCACTCCAAGGCCGCGCGCAGCCAGACCAAGGTCGTGCAGCAGACGAGTGCAGCCGTGGACGAGGCGACGGATAAGGTCAAGAAGCTGGCTGTCAGCGGTACTATGAACCGGAAGGAGAGGGAGAGCGCCGAGGCAGCGGAGGCGAAGGAGAGGTATCGGAAGTTGCATGAGGCGGGCAAGACGGACGAGGCCAAGGCGGATTTGGCGAGACTCAGGCTGATCCGGGAGAAGAGGGAGCAAGAGGCCGCGAGGAAACAGGTAAGATGTCCTCACGATCACCCCCGTGGGGGAGTGCTGGTGCTAACATGACTGTTACAGGCCGAGAAGGAAGAGCGCGAGGCTGACGCAGCGGCCAAGAAGGCTGAGATTGATGCTAAGGAGGCCAAGAAGCGGGAGGCTGCCATGGGCCCTACTGCTAAGGGTAAGGGCAAATCGAAGAAATGAGAGATTCTAGCAGGATAGCACGCGAAGACAAACGGCCGAAATAGAGCACCGTCATTGCCCCTTGCTCAAGTTGCATATCTGCATGGTAATTACTGTCTCTCCGCAGCCGTGACTCCAGTATTCTAGCCCTATATACATTATGATTGGTGATATTACACATATTCTACACGCCGTCATCTCACGCCGCGCACACATGCTACATCATCCCAGCCAACCCATCGGCCGTCTCGCTCCCCACCGCCTCCTTCCAAAAGGCATCAAAATCAATCCCCTCCTTGGCAAACATCTCCCTAATCCGTCCCGCAACCTCGACCTGCTTCTCAGGCCCAAACCCACCCGGTTGCGATGATTCAAACTGCACAATCTCGATCCACCGGTAGAACATATCCTCCTTGTCCACGGCAGTGAGCGCGTCCCTGAAAGCAAAGACCTGTCTCCTCCTCTCCTCCTCCACCGAACTCGGACCGCCCGCCACGCCACGGTCAACACACACCCAGCCAAACTCCTTGCTGTGGAACAGCACCACCCTCTCAAACGCCTGCAGCGCAATGGTCTTCGCGTCCACCAGCGCGGTGGCGGAGATCATGCCCGCCCAGTCGAGGTCCCAGTCGGCGTTCATGAGCAGGTAGCCCGTCTTCTCCCTGAGCAAGATGGCGTCCGTCGCGGGCGCGACCTTGGACAAGACGAGCTTCCGCTTCTCCGCGCCTTCCAGACCCAAGGCGTCGTCGAGGACGCCGACGTCCCACTCCCTGCTCCGCCGGACGTAGATCTCCCTGTCGCGGAAGCCCGTCTTCCACCGCCACACCACGGGGTTGGAGTGCGTCATGGCCAGGCAAAACTCGACCGGCCACGGCCAGACGAAGACGGTGAGTAAGAAATCCAGGAGGAAGGTGAATGCGCGGCGGAGCACGACGGAGGCCAGGGTAGAGGTCGAGGGGGCGCCGAGCACGGCGGCGTCGCGGGTGTAGCCCAGGGTCGAGAGGAGGAGGGCGCCGTACCAGGGGAGGATGTAGTTGACGCGCCAGACGAAGAGGGCGACCACCGCCAGGTTCATGGCGACGGGCACGAGGAAGATTTTGAGCTTGAAGGCGCGGGGTTTGGTGTCGATGTGGGTTAGGTAGATGTGCTTTTTTGAGAGGGTTTCTGTGAAGGGGTTTAGGGATTCGGGGAGGGGTTTGAAGGGGGGTGGGGGCGAGGAGGGCGTGGAGGTGGAGGATTTGGGTTGTTTAGATTTTCTAGGTGCCATCTTGAGAACTTGAGTGAGAATGGATGGTTGGGTGGTTAAGTTGGTTGGTTGCCGTGATGAGATTCAGCTTCCGAGGATCCGTGGAGGTGAAGAGGGGGGGTGCTCCTCCACCCAGGCGAATATGTTGGATTTTTGCAGATGCGGTGGAGTCTTTTGATCAGCGGATGGGCGGATATGTTTGTTCTAAGACTGATCGAGAGGTACCTTATTGGATGAAGTTTGAGAAGCTGCGTGCAAGCCGATGAATTCTAAGACCTTGAACGCAATCTGGTGTCCGCTGTGTAAAACGTGGCAGAAGGCTAACCGGATTCGGTCTAGCGTGTGGTATAGATCAACTTTATTTGGACTCCATCCTCTCATTGCTATCACCTTTCACTTGAAATCGTGGCCTCCAACCTGGAAGCTTGCCTATCGCTCTAAACTAAACCAAAGTGTTTGTTTTCTCTCCGCAGATATAGTTGTTTAAGACCTGCATGAGCCCGAAACTTAACCTGTTATTGTCACCCACTATGAAGGTTGAACTTGGCCAGCACCGTGGCCACTGGGCTGCGTTAATGACCTTCGACGGTCGCTGGGAACTGAAACAAGCTTGACGGCTTCGCACTATGAACCAGAGCCTACCGCTGGGTTAAGCTCCTTCGCATGTGGGCGATGTCCGACATTGCCACTGGCTGCAACCTGTCAGTGCTGCACTGTCGCCTGAGGCATGCTTCACCCACTCGCAGTGTAATTGTCTAGAAGATCGATTAGGTAGCTCCAAGGGCTGGATGGTACAACTGTGTCAGTTACCGCAATTCAATTCACGTCCGGGGTATTTGGGATGCTGAAGAGGTGACGAGGCTATGACGGTGACAGGCGACAAGGCAAGGAGACAACTCTTCGATCATGCGAATAGATCAAGGAGCAGATTAAGTTTAGCAAGAACCTGGTTGTGAATTAGGTTTCACGGACTGACTTGACTTTGTAGAACGAGCTATCAACCGTTTGCGACTGGAAGCTTTCTGTTGGTGATGAGCCGGCCTTTTCCTCGGAAATCGACGTAGGTTTCTGTTTTTGGATCAAAATTCACTCGTTCGGCAAGGGCCATTTTGCTCAAATTCATTTACTGCACTACCTAAGGTACCCAAGCTACCTTAGTATTGCCACATTTCACTTTCGTATTCTCAGACTCATCACTCACTGGCCCCGCCCATCCTTACAAAACTGAGTTTCTCAGCTTTGTCCGTTGCCATCTTCTCGCTTCGCATACTCCTTGAAGTGGCTCACTAACTACTACGACTCTCAGGCTTGCAAACCCGAGCAAATATCCAACACCCAGCAAGACTTCAATCTCCCATCAGCCACCAGCAGTTCTTCGCCCAGAAACTCCGTGGAACGATGACACCTCCGTTGTTAGATGACCTTCCGACGGAGATACTGTCAGATATATGCGACTGGGTCTACTGGGGACATTGCGGCGACTTGCTAGAGTTTGCCCTCGCAAGCAAAAAGTGCTATTCCGTCGCCAAGCGCCTTCTTTACCGGACCATCCACTTCAACCCCGCGAATCTCTCAGCGCTGCGCAAGGCTATTCGGGATTGTGAGAGCTCTTTGGAACGCGATGGTGCCTTTCACCTCGTTCGTTGCTTGTACATCACATCCGAGCCCAACCTCAGGGTTTGCCCGCCCAGCTG